TGTGTCACAATTAGGAAGCAGCAGAGGCACAGAAAACTGACACATAGTCATTTTGACTGCCATTTCCTGCCGTACAAAACCATCAGAACACAGAAAGAGAGCAGTGATTATGTCAAGGGGGTTTATCACGTCACCTGAATGTAGACTATCAAACAGACCATCAAGATCTAACTCTGCATTTCCTGAAGCAGCATTACAGTTTGATTCACATTCTGATGTACATTTCACATTTCTAGCTGTCACATTAACCATCATCAGTTTCTTTAGAAAGTACAATGGAAGATCTGAATTACACTTGGCAGGTTCTTCAGTAATGGTCGTCTCATCAATCTGAAGTACTGTGCCCAGGGACAGCTTCTCTGCGTGGTAGTGCTCCAACCCCAGATCCTCCAATAAGCTCTTCAGTTGTGTGTCTGTGGATATGAATACATGTGTTATTTCAAACCAATCATAGGTGTTTTAATAAAACATGCATACAAAGTTAAAGGGGACCTATTATACTACATTTCCAGCCCTATATTGTAGTTCTGTAACTCCTGTATGGTGGCTTTGCACGATTCAAAGTTCAAAAAAGTATTTTCTATATTATACTGGCTCTTCATGCAGGCCCTCATTTCAGCATCTGTCTGAAACAAGCTGTAGATGCTTCTGTTTCTTTGAGACCCAGCCCACCATAAGCCCACTTTCTTCTGATTGGCAATATTTGGAAAACCAGCTCGGAATGACATTAGCAGAAAAAACTGTTCAAAACAGAGCATTCGGAACAGGGGGTATATCTGAGGTTTTTGCTCACAGGGATTTCTTTTTAATACTTTTACCTCATCATTTGAAACTTTGGTCATGTTTAATATGAACATCTGAGATTGTAACATTAAAGAAATGGTAGAAAATATGAAAAAGCATAATAGGTCCCCTTTAAGTAAATACGAAGGTACGGTTTAAGTACTACCAATAAATCATAAAAATTTGTAATTTAATTCAGTGAAACATTTGCATATTTTATTACAAAATCTAAAACAAGTTATTCTGAATTTTATCTCTTAAATCTAAAGCACTCCCGACAGATTTTGTTGCCTCACAGCAGGGCCTGAAAGATAAAATGCTGGTCAGTCACTTGGGTAATTAATCTGCCCATCCTCTTAACACTTGGGTACAGAGCAATTAGGATAGTCAAAATAAATACATTTTCTTATCAAGACAACAAAACAAATTTTACAATAAGTAATGAGAAAATATTACAGATTAACAAACTGTATAACAATATCCAAACAATACTGTGTATATTAGGGCTGACCCCAAATTGTCAAAAATTCAATGCTTCAATGGGCAGAGCCTGATTCAACTGTCAATCTAACAGTCAAAGCTTCGCAGCGAAATGAGGATCACACCATTTTGGCGATATGGGGGCACTCAACATCTGATTTTACATGGAACAAACAGTTTTCTACCAATAAGATAATATACTTCCTATTACAATGTAAATTTGAACATATAATGCTGTAAATAAACATGTTAAAAGAAAAAAGCTTTTTGAAAATGTCTTTGAAGTGCATAAATAAATTCAAATTTGTAACTCTAACCCTTAAGGAAGGGGGATCAGTGCACATGTGTAGGTGTAGCGTGTATGGGCCTTTCTCATTTTCCAAATTTCTGCCTCCTCGACTCCTCGATCCTCAAGCCTGTGACCCTGAAATCGATCTCAGCGTGCCATATTGAAGGACATCTCAATTCTGATAATGCACCTCATATAGCTATAAGCGAGGATACACCGGTATATCCTTTACAGAAGGCGTGACACGCAGCTGGAACACGGCTTGACTAACCATGGCGGAAGCAGGACTATACAAATGTAAGTGGTCATTTAGTTTTTAGTAAGGCGCTGTTCTAGCCACATTTCTTAAAGACATATAACCAATTGCTCATGTTTTTATTGCTGAATGTAGACTATACCCAATTTATCTGCTACAATTATTCCTGATATTCTCTTCATATAGCACTAATTTGCTGGATTTCATGTTGTATTCAACTGCCCATTATGTAGTCTGCACATGTCATTCTAAAAGTAGGTACAGTGTTGTGAAAACATGTCACCGTTGGAGCTGTAGGCTACATTTGTGATCAATTGTACATTTTCATTTCACACAGGGAGTGATGAGGAGACTGTGACCCTCATCAAGCTAAGAACAGAGAATGACAACCTGTTTACAGGGAAAAGGCACACTGCCAAAAACGCGTGGGAGTGAGTTACATAAATTCTAAGTAGCGCGTGATACAGTAACTGTTATGTTAAAATGTGCTATGAAAGTTCATTGCAACCTTGAGATGTCTCTACATGTTGCTGTCCTAATGTTGACTCAGACATTTTTGTGGATTGTGAAGACATGATCCATAAGCATACTGTATATGTTTTGGTACAAACAAATATTTCAATGTCTCCTGAAACGTGTTAATTCAATAATTTCCTATCTATGTAAGTTGACATCTTGACACGCCAAGGAGTCACGGCTGAGGCGGTAATCATGAAGGAGGTCTTGTTGCCCATCAAAATAAATTTGGAGCACAGGAACAGTGCTGTTGAGGCATTTGTAGATGGGTACTGGTGGAGCTTCAGCCTACTGACAGAAAACATACTGTAGCTGTTAATGTGTACATGGATTAAACCCTTTAGCCAGCAAAGTTTGCACAGTAAAATGTGTTGTCAACTTTCTCATCACAAACACATTCTATGTCTGGGACATTAATGAAAGTGTGTATCCATTATCCATTATCTCCCAGCTATCTGTGGTAGGTTCTCTTTGCTGTCAATCAATAAGCTGTGGGGAATTCAACCCGGGTCTCTCACACCAAAGGCATGTTTCTTATCCACTGTACCATCAGCTCACTTACGAAAATGTATTCTGTCAAGTCTGTTCATTCAAATGTGTGTTTTCAAATTTTTTTATTAGGGGGAACTGCTCATTAAGTCAGGTCATCAGAAAGGTAAATTTCCTCCATAATGTTGGAGAATAATCTAAAATCTTTGCTTAATTTTCCTATATGGCATCCTCAGTTCCTTCCAAAGGTCACACTCTTTCAAGTCCTTCCCAATAATGTAAATGTATTTGTGTTTTGTTTTTAGTGTTTTAGGCTTATGTTACAATTTTTTGTTTCTTGTTTCTCTCAATTTTCAAGTGATAAAATTATATTTAAAGATATAAATAAAAACATTCCAGTTCCTAATAATGAATATAAAATGAAATTGCATTCTTTACACGAATAGCTGAATATGTTTATATTGAAAAAGCATCGTAAAATGTAGTAAAGATTTCTTCAGTAGTTAACAACATTTTTACTACTCACGAGAAAACAATCTCACGATTATACTTTTGACCCTCAATCTTGCTGCTCTTTCTTTGATAAAGTTTGTCGTAGTAGTGTATTTCGCACTTTTAATTTAAATGTACTACTGTATACATAAAAGTGCAATAAGGGGGTTTGCGAACACTTTAAACAAATAAGGTGCTTTTTACCAGCAGTATCCCCTTTACATAGTAGTAATAAAATATTTCTTGTAGCCTAAATCTCAACTTAGCCTAAACATTAATGTGATTAAATCAAATATGAAACCAAAGCTATTTGCCACTGCCAGAGCATTACCTTTTTATCTAGCTTGTTAAAACAAGTTACCATCAGAGTCCAGTTTTCTTGTTTTTTTTTCTGAACAGGTATCAGCAGAAACATTTTTGTTTTATCAGGGTGCAGCTTAAACATCAGTAGCAAGTTTCCCTGTTAGAGTGAGGTGAAGTGGTAAGAGTGTTGGCCTTTCTCATTTCCCAAATTTCTGTCTCCTCAACTCCTCGATCCTGCATCTTGAAGGACATCTCGATTATTAAAATGCACATCGAGGGTCGAGAATCGAGGATCGAGGATCGAGGATCGAAGAGGCTTGCTAAAGGAGCTTTAAGCAAGGATACATCGGTGTATTCAACCCATGGCCGGAGCAGGACGCTGCAGTGTTCCTGTTGTATTCATACCTTGTATCAGTTAAGCCTATTAAAAATAATCAAATGCGCGATCAAACTTTCTGCCCTTCACTGTTTGTGTAGCGCCTAATAAAACACTGTTCTAACGGCATTCCTTAATGTCATTTCACTTTGATATCAGGATAGTAAAAATTAACATTAAATAGCACTGGATGAAGCGTCTCCCCAGTGACACTGTGCGTATTTACACACGAGCAACAGTAACAAAATTAATAATAAAAAATGAGATTGCATTCTTTGCGTATGCGCCTATATGAGTATTCCGTTAATGCCCGAACTGATCCACGCCTCACATGAAATGCTATAATCGTGACAAAACAGTGCAAAGAGCTGCTGAAGTCAAATTATTCGGCTGTAATATCAACCACAGCGTTCAGCACTGATCTGCTGTGTTTCATGTTTTAATAATACTGCCCATGTAGTCTGCACAAGTCATTCCAACAGTAGAGTCCTGTGATGACAGTTTTAATTGGGGCTATATGAGATTAATATTACTGTGTCATTTTGTAAAGGGACTGATGATGAAACTATCACCTAATCAAGCTAAAGGCTGAAACGATCTCCTTACAGGCAAAAAAAAGTGGTAGGCGTGTAGCCTAGTGAATGATTAGGCTTTTTTCAACAGATGCTATAATGTTTATTGGAACCTTTCTACATGTTAGGCTATAATGTTAACAGACATGTTTCTGGATTGTGAAGAATAATAATAATCTGTAGCCTTTAGTGCCAAATGCTGGTCTGCAGCTCTGACAGCGATCACAGCTCTAACAGTGGACAGATGATGCAGCTGTGCAACAGGTCATATTTAATGGACGTCGCTTTAAAATGACGGCTACAAGTAAAGGACATCTCATTTCGTTAAATGCCCGTTTCCTCGACTCCTCTCTCCTCGCGTCTCCTCCTTGACTCTTCGAGCTCGCATCTCGGGTGGGCGGGACTAAAATTCGACCCGAGGAGTCGAGGAGGTGTATAATTTGGTAAATGAGAAAGGCCCTTAGGGACAACAGGGATGCGTTCCCTGAAACTGTCGCGGACCTGCTCGCCTCAAACACACGCCGCCGCCGCTGAAGTTGAATTGTTTTGAACTTTTTGTACGCGACGCGCAGCACAGCATTGGAAGAGAGACTGATCCCCACTGTTTGTGAGTGACACTGAGGTTTGTATTTATCCATATTATTCCACTTTTACATAATAATGATTTTTGGGAAGGACTTTGCGACTTAGCCTATAGCCTCGTTTATTTACATTTATTCATTTAGCTGACGCTTTTATCCAAAGCGAAATACAATCGCTATATATGTCAGAGGTCGTACGCCTCTGGAGCAACCAGGAGTTATGCGTCTTGCTCAGGGACACAATGGTGGATGTGGACGGGTCTCCCACACCAAAGGCATGCATCTTATTCACTGCGCCATCACCACCATAGTACTAGCTATGTTTTTTGTTTACTCACTTGTGAATGCAGATGTTGTTTTTTCCTTTGGCTCTTCATAATCCTCCCAGCAAGTGGTCACAATGTACTTCTCTACTTCACCAGCAGGAGTGTCCAAATGCAGAGAAACAGGCTCACTGCTGACATGATAGACTGTTGAATTTAAAGCAGGGCAGGGCACTGTAGAAATAACAAAAATTACAACGCTGATAATAATAATAATGATTTTACTTAAAGCTACTCACATACTGCACAACATTTAGTCCAGTTCTGCTGAACAATAGATTGCATAATGCTGACCTTTATCACTTGCATCTTGACAGCTGCTAGGCCATGGTGTTGATGGAGTGTCCTCTGATTCCTCACAGTACAGTTCAACAAATGAATCTTCACTAATGTCCTTGATATATAAGAACAATACAATTTAATGTGATAAATTCATTATGCCATATATATTACCTTATTGGACATTATTTTTATTTTATGTATCTCTTGGAACTAGCAGTTTACCTCCATGGGTTCACTCTCGATCACCCTCCACTTGCTTGAGATTATTCAAACAGCTTCTCACTGAAAGCAATTAGAGACAAGCACATAAGGTTTTATTCCCTAAGAACTTTAAATATTCCACAAAGTTTAAAAAAAAAACATGCAGCTGAGTTGACTGCATCATTTTTCCAATCACAACCATCAACTATCTGTCCGTAGGATTTGGAAATGTATGACTTTGGCAACTCCAGGTGTAACTTTGTAAAAAGACCCCCACTTCCACTTTACATTAAGAGGAGCCTTAAGATAAGTTATGCAATTTTTTTAGAGAGAAAGATTTGTATAGTTTTTAGTTAAAGTAGTAAAATGCTAGTTTATTTTATCTGTAATTTGCACCTCTTGAAGTGATTTCACACCATAGGGGGGGAGCATCTTACCCCAGTGGAAAATGCCTTTTCCCTAAAATTCATTTGATTAGATCTAAATTAATGTCAACTGTAGCTAGTTATTCTACTTTATAATATATTAACTTAAGCATAGCCTTTAAGATACGTCTTACCCCAGTAGCTGGGGAAAATGCCTTTGTCCTCCTAAAAATTACATTTGATAAAATTTACATTAATTTGTCAACTGTATGTATTTAGTTTACTTTATAATATGTTACCCTAAGTATGGCCATCTCCAAGATACAAAAAAAGAGCTTTAATAAAACTATAATTTTATGTGTCAGCAAATACACATTATTGAGCTAAACTCCAGTTTTGCTTTGCAGGCGATAGTGTCATAATTACAGGCTGTAAATTATGTGATGCCATGGGGGCCAAAAAGACTATTTCTCCCTAGGGAACAATCCCACACATAGGCCTACATCTGATATATGACAAAAACAGTTTGAATCAGAGTTTACGGTGAAAGCCCTGAAGGCCCTACATCACATTACATTCATAATCGGATTTCCAAATACTGATTTACCCACCTAGGTTTTAATGTCCTCCCATCAGGCACAAAGCCTAACAGAAAAAAAACTCTGACAAATGCAGAGGCTATAGAAACCTACCTTTAAAGAAGATGTGCCCATGTCAAATTTGCATTCTTGCATCCAGGAGCTCTTCTCTGTGCTGTATACATTGGTAAGCTCAATGATTTGTTCTGTAGATGACTTCCCTGCAAACCAATGAAGTCCTGCAGTGCAGACCCGTCTTTTATTCTGCTGGTTGAAACCAGTTTCACTTTTGGTTTACAAATGAGCATGTGGTTTCTCGGAAATCAAAACTCTGTCTATTCTCCATTATACTTTACTTACATGGGCCTGGTTCCTCTTTATTTTCCACCTCAGGAAAACACATTGTCCAGTAGAGAATCATGAGTGATCCATCATAAACCATTCCATATTTTTCATGCCTGCAAATGGTACCTGTTGTTTAACTTGGTTTTTGTAATTCTTTAATTGAGTTTTAAACTGTATTAGATTTTTCTAGTCTTGATTTAGGAGTGATTCAGTCTCACCTGACAGCAAGTTTAACCTCAACAGATTTAAGTCATTCAAACGTTCTTGTAGAGAGAGTTCAGAATTTCAATCATCTTTCGGGAAAAAATTATGGTTAAATGAAAGTGGGAATGAATGAAAACTGCTGTATGAAAGGTGGGCCATTTTATTTATCTTACTGCACCAATTGTGTTTTAATGACATATGTAAATTAATGTAGCTTTTCAACTTCGACTTCTGCCTTCTGGTGGGCTTTACAGAGCACTGCCAATGAAGCAGCCATGCAGATTTGTAGTCTCCCTCTCCACTGTTCACAGACACTACCTGCAGACTCATTTCAATGAGGTGAAGGCATCTTCAGCGGATAAGTGCAAAACATCAGCACTGTTTCGTTAGCTACATCAGTTTCTGATTTAGAAATGTATGTTTGTGATCTGCAGCCCATTCTGGGGCATATAGACAGTACAGCCGTACTACACTCTAAAAAATAAAACATTAAATCAACAAAAAAAAATACCTTAACGTTTTCCACTAGAATTGTTAAGTTAAGACTGCTGGCAGAATTACATTAATTTAAAGCAATGTTTTGAGAATGGTGAATTACCTTTTAGGCCACAATAAAACACATTTCTAAGTAACATGAACTTAATAATTAAGTTGATCTCTGCAAGTGGCTAACTGGCTAACATAGCTACTTTTAGTTTATAAACGTAGCTAGCCTACATGCTAACCGGAGCGGTGGCTAATGGGTAAGCCCATATTAAGTTAGCTTGCCAAGACGTTTTCCCTGGCTACCTGGCCACCTATTACTACTGCATTTTAGCCTACTCATTCGGTGACAGGCTACAGCTACTAGCTAACTTGACCTCGGCACACAGACTGTACTAACACTGCTCAAATTTCAGAGTAAGGACTTCCAGATTTCGGTATTCGGTTACAGTAGGCTATCACCAACAGAATCCTGAGCGAATGCAAATATGTGTAATTAAGCATAAAATTACTTACCATTCACCATGTTACAATTTAATGAGTTCCAGCTGTGGCCCTGTGGTCACTCGTCTGGCCTTGAACATGCCTGCACATGAAGGAGAGGGAAACTGTGAGCCGTTTACATGTCATCAAATTGTATTTTACATTAACAGAACTTAAAATTAAATTATTTTTTGATTAACTGAAAATGTTAAACTCTCACAAGTCATGATAGCATATTGAGTCAATAGGCATAATTTGTGTGTCATCCAAGCTAGTAAAAAGTCAAAAAGTATCTCAGAACTTGATTTTTTATTTCATAACAATACATATGTAAGTAATGACTAAAGGTGCCCTGAATTAGTTTTTAGAGTGTATGGCCTGTACTATTCAGAGGCCCATGATGGGACTGGACGCACATGAATGCACGTTGCCCACACCGCTGGAGGACGAGCAGAGTGTGACAAGCAGAGAGCAGCACAGCGGGTTACTATCAAGCTAGCATGTTAATATTGGATAGGTTTAAAATGACTGACTTTAATTCAGTAACGAACTGGCTTGCTAACTGTTAGCAACAGGTAGCGGCTGTGCTAACAGCTGCAGTAACATTTATATTTTAATATAAGTACATTATTTCCTAAGGCTGGCTACTTGTGTTATGTACGTTGACCTGGGTCCTGTTACACAAATCTTTACAATTTGGGGTTCTAATAAATATACATTTCTTTACAGGCCAGAATCTGAGGACTGTGGACAACATCCAGACTATTGTATTTCCATTCACCACACACGGCTGATCTTCCAGACTAGAGTAACAGACAGTTCAGTCAGGCAGCATACAGACAGTTTGTAGTGTGGCAATGTGGAGCACTTGGACAGAGCCATGATACTGAGTTTCTGGAAGAAATGCAACTGTTATCCTGATTGACTAGGACAATACAGAGGTTTAATCCTAGCAGGGTGTAAGATATAATGTCACTAACTGACACAGTGCTACACAAATAATCCCATCCACTGTGTGGATGAATACCTGTACATTGTTTTTGTTTTCAGGAGGGTAGAGAAAATACAAAGATATTTTGCCCTGTTCTGGATAATATTTTAATTCTTTTTTAAATAAAAGATTGAACATTTTTAAAAAAGTATTCACACCCCTTGGATGTTTAACCCTTCTGTTTCTTTTACACATGAAATCATGGCCAATATGATTATGCTTTTTTGACAAGAATTTGCAAAAAAACCCTCTTTAATATCAAAGTGCAAACTGGGGCTGATTGTTCTTATGTTGTGTGTATATGATGCTTTGGCAATGTTGTTATTACACTCATGCCAATAAAGCTAATTTGAATTGAATTGAAACTGATTTTAAGAATTGTCATTGTTAACAATGTTAAGAATTTTTGCAGAAGTTCTAATCTGAAGCTACAGTAATGGTTAAAAACTTTTTTCCCCTGCAGTTTTTCCCTAGAATACATTGCGCTCAAGACGGACTGTGTCCTCAGAAGCCTGTGTGTTTACCTCAGTGAGGACAGCAACATTCTCATCAAGGAGTACTTGGTTAGTAATCAAAATTGATTGTGAACTCTCAGTGTTAAACATGCAATGCTTTCTTTATTTTAAAATGGTAAATTTATGTTTCACCATTAGGATGTCAACAGTGAGGAAGGTAAGAGAGAGACCATACAGACCATACAGATTTGCAGAAGTAGAGGACAAGCCAGCGGATGTTGGAGTGGTGGTCGAGGGTGTGGAACTGCTAAGTGAACTAGGAAGTATTTCCTTTGGTTGTGACATGCTGTTTGGCCTGATCTACACTCTCAACCTGAACTATCCACAAATGTAAATTTGAGTTCTTCCAGAAGGTTTTAATGCACTTGGATGGCTACAAACTGTCCCCAAAGGTGGAAACATTAAAATTAAGATTCTTCAGTGAGCTCTTAAGTGCAATGCTGGAAAGTTTGGCTAGCCACATTTTGGCTTAATGGACTTTACCATTGTTCACGTGGTTTAAAAACACAAACACCAGAACAGCTTATTGTTCTGATTATTTCTGGCATCTTCTATTGCCACTTTGTGTTAACTTGCTTATTTTGCATTTGGACCACTCTTGGACCCTGCCATTTTTGCACTGAGATTGCATACTGTTACACTAGATAGAAAGAACCTTTTTTCCTGCAGGTATTAAGGCCTTTTGCCCTTTTCATGTCTGACTTGTTCCCATTCTGCAAAAAATATTCCTAGGACTGCGCACTTGACTATGAAATGTTTTACATTGTGCTGCATTCCTGTTTTAAATGATGCTGTAATCCAGGTCCCGTCTTAAAACTGTAAGATGTTCTTGGAGGGGAATGTATTTGTGTGTATTGAGATTGTAAATGGAGAACAGCATTATAATTTTTTTTCTATGTGCCAGGAGGACCATATCCAAATATGGAATCATGTAACTTAATGTTGTATTGTTCAGACTTGTATTTGACACTTCTATGTTATCATCACTATCAGTATTTGATAAAAGAGTCTTTTGAATGGCAATCTATGTTTTTTTAAGATTATTTTAAAATGTATTTTAAGTTACCATAGTAGAAATACTTATTCCAGTGGAAATAATTTATTTTCTTTATTTTTTAGCCTTTATAGTTTATTATACACTGAAAAACCTTGTGCCCTTTGCCTTGGCCGTTGTTTTTTTGCAATAGCAGGTCTTGCTGCTGTAATGTTAAAATTACTATTGGACTACCATTGTTGTAATGACTTATAATAGATATGCCAATAAAATTTCCAGAACAGTTCTTGTATGTGTTGCTTTCTGATTTATTACAGGAAATAGAATTACTAAATTGAAATGTGTAAGTATAATACATATATAACACATAAGGTTTATGTAGAAGTTTACATGAATTTAATTCAATCAAATCAAGTTATGTTATTTATTTAAACTGATTAAACATGATATAATTGCCTTACATTAGACCCTTTACATTGAATGTATGTAATAAAATTAGATGGAAATGATACTTAAAGTCAACATTTTAGGCATAATTAGTTTTTTGAGTGTGTATTGTTTCCCAATCTTAAGTTTCTATTTCATCACGTGACAAGATGACAGGACTCTGGTGAAAGCTAGGTGAAACGCAAAATACGACAAGCAGCCTAGCAGAGCACACCTGCAAGCTAGCAGTCATGCCATTCAAACATAAACATTGTTGCAGGAAGTGACAGTGATGTTTTGAATTTTGCTCTATGCAAGCTCGTCGGATGCCTTTTAAATTGGCGAGTACAAGTGCTTTTCCCCCCAAGGGATATAGTGAATGTTATGGGCTCCCACACCCCTGTTTGAAAGGATGTTAACATTTCGAGGTTAGGTCGCCGCCGAGCACCTGTTTTATGGTGTGTAGGCCTATGTGCTTGTGGGTATTAAACTGTGTGCTGTAGCCCGGCCATGGTGTTGTTGTTAAGTAGGTCGCATTTCAGTCTTTTTTACCATCATCTCTTGACAGTGACAGCGCTGTCCATGATTCTGAAAACTTTCTCTCTTTGACTTCTGTAATTTGCAAATACAATAGTCTAGGTAAGACATTCCGACTGTAAAATTCATCACGTGACTGGTGGGCTACTTTAAGCTGCTGCTGCCAGGTGCACGCAGTGCAGTGTGTGTGTGTGTGTTGGAGAGAGACCAACACAAAGAGAACGATTCAATTTAATATGTTAATATGGACAAGAAACTGATTTTAGGAGCATGACATTTAGTAGGTTTGCCATTTACTGCATCTAAAATGTGTTGTTAAAGCGTGCAAAATGAGGAAGGCACACACATTTGCCAAAATAGTTCCCTTCTAGACAAGAACGCTGTGCGTGTGTGTGTGCGTGTGTGTGTGTGTGTGCGTGTGTGCGCTTCATAACCGTGCACAATGGCCTGTTATAAAATCCTGCACGGGGGCCCTTCCTTACAACCTTAAGCTGCTGAATGGTAGGGTCAGAATTTGGAATAACAACATGAAAGCATGGATCCATCCTGCTTTGTATCTACAGTTCAGGCTGCTGGTGGTGGTGTAATGGTGTGGAGGATATATTCTTGGCACACTTTGGACCCCTTAGTACCAATTGAGCATTGTTTAAATGTGACAGTATTGTTGCTGACCATGTCCATCCCTTTATGACCACAGTGTACTCATCTTCTGATGGCTACTTCCCGCAGGATAATGCACCATGTCACAAAACTCAAATCATCTCAAACTGGTTTCTTGAGTGAGTTCACTGAATCTTTGAGATGTGGTGGAACGGGAGATTCACATGATGGATTCTTTGTTCTGGGGTTAAGGTAGAAGATTTAGCTAGCTTGAATTTTTCCTTTTTTTGAAGATTTAGCAAACTTTTATATTAAAATATCTTCCAACTATACTCCTGATGAATCTGGAATTATGGAAACAATTCAGGGGTATACTGACACTGTGGCCAGCTGCCTAATGTAATGGTGGTGTAGGAAGGTGTTTCATGGTCAGGACTTCTAAACTGACACACTAAACGAAGTGCAGTCACTTAAATGTTAGCTCACCTCACATGTAGCAGTGTTTACATGTAGCCAATTAATCACATGTGCGACAGACATGAGGGCTTTGATTCCATAAGATGCCTCATATCCTCCTAGATAAATGAGATCACACATGTGGTCTGACTTTTATTCCTTCTTCACACTGTGTTGCATTGTGGGTATGGAGGCTGTGTTGACTTAACAGTGATGTGATGGTGCAGTGAAGAGATTCAACAGTTGAGAGATGGATGAAAGTAAGTTTGCAGCCCATCAGTTCTTACAGTTTATTCTTATTTCAACATGCCTGAAAACTACAGTCAGCCAAGCAAAACAAGATGACTTCATATCACTGAGGTCAGATCCTGTGTCAGATCGGTGGTGCATGGAAACACATGATTAACACCCCAGAATGGCAAACATACACAGAGACAGTGACACTCAAACATCGATCTATGAATTCTTTTCATACAATTTTTCGCATTAAATACTTCACAGAAACAAAAACTGATTGTGAATTCCAAATAAACAGTCACTTTTTAAAAATGTAATGTAAATATAAGACAGATACTACACAAAAGCAATATCAGATCATATGTGACAAAAGAAAAAAAATGTCACTTTGCTGCTTTAATTAATTAACTGATCTTCTCAGTGACAATATGATGACTTCATCAGTCACAAAATTTATAAATTCAAAGTCAGATTTAATCAAACTGGAAGCATTTAGTTTATTTCTAAATGATGTTAAACGACTCTTTGAGGCTCACTTATGTGTGATTTTTTCCCCAAGTTTCAGGAATATCAGCAGGCTCTGCATTATATGCTTCAGCAAACTGCTTGTTGAACTTTGCCAGTACATATTTCCAGTAGTCTGACTACACCTTTATCACGAATAAAGGTGTTGACACCTAGCTAACTAGCACTGCCGGTCTGTACGGGACGCCCCAGAGCATCTCATTGAGACGCACTGGTGTCAAATAATTATGCTTTGTCATTCTTTCTCAAATCGTCGGTATATGACTCCCTGAGATAAAGTGCAGCTCACAGCCGCTTCAGGTGAAGCAGAGAGTTGAGAGAAGCTACAGCTGGATCATCTTATTCTGCCGCTATTTTGCAGGAGAATAAATAATCTCTCTCTCTGGCTCCCTCGCTCGCACGTAATGTTAGTTAAGAGAGTAAAGTTCAATTTTTGGCCTTTTGTTGTTTGTTTGTAGGAGCAGAATTAGAGACACCAGCTTATTCCACAAAGTCAGGGTTTTGGTTAAAATAGCGTGATCAGCAGAGGGCATGCCTAAGACACAGAGAGGGGGAGCATTGCAGACAAAAGTTGGACATCAGGCAAGAAAAGTCATCAGTGATTATCCTTAATCAATATTAATAATTATTATTAATCATTTTAATCAGTTTTATCATTAATCAGTAAGTAATCATTCTTGTATCATCATTTTTTAACCATTTTATTAGTATTAATCATTCTTAATCATTTTTACCTAGATGTGCTTTGGGTTTTACTTATAAGTAGTGAATTGTAGTCATGAACACAGAAACAAGCTCACTGTGTTTAGATCCTTGAGTGGGAGGAATGACTGCAGGATGTGGCTGCAGGTGGTTTGCCTTGTCCAACTGTCATCTACTGTAGATTATGACCATAGGAGAGGCTGCAGGTGTGCAAAATCTGCTGACACTGTGACAGTGCATGCTTTGGTCTACTGTTATCTACTGTTGTTGTGATTACATGAGGAACTGCTGAGATGTTAATCTGCTAACATTAAGAATATAAGCTTAATTACTGATTAAGGGGGTTTGATTGTCAACTTCCAACCTCTGGTTATTATAGCCAGTATGAGCTTTGAGTGAATTTGCTGAAGGAATTCATGCTTTGCAAAAACACGACAGAGGATGATCAAAAAACCGACAGAAGCTTGGCAAAAACACGACAGACAGATGATAAGCAGAAAGCAGCCAGCGTAACATCAAGAATGCTGTAAGAAAATAAAATAAAAATAAGTAAAAAATACAATTATGTGTCAAATTAAGCATGCGTAACCTTTAAAAAACACGGTGAGACTGAAGTTGAAATGTAAATGATGAACTTCTTATCCAGTAGTATAAAGATGTAGAAAGTCTTCAGTAATAAATGACAGTTGGGGAACAGTGTTAATTGGTACAAACAACACAAAAACAAAGGAAAAGAAGTTCATCATGAGGAAAGGAGGAGGCAAACCAGCCCAGAAGAGATGTATATAAGGCTGTCTGCAGACCATAGGATGGACTTCATCCTCCGGCCTGCTGGGATGTTGTACTCGTTTATTTGTCCTCTTTTGGAATAAACTCTGTTTGCACTGACTCTTGACCGTCTCCAGAGAAGTTCTTGTCTGCAAGTTTTTTGACTATTGTGGGGAGTATTTTTTGACGAAGTTTTGTTAAGTTGGTGAAGGTGGGGACCAGGCCTAACTGGCCCAGCCTGGTCGTACATCTGATCCAACAACTCCAAACATGACAGAGAAACAGAATTAAACAAGGATCAAGACACAGAAACAGGACGGACAAGAGCAAATCGTGCTTGCCAGTCTATTGTAGTGTCCTGTAGATTTAGAATGAAGGTCCATTTATCTATTGGAATCAATGTTGTACTGTCGTGGGATAGGTGCTCAAATATTTGAGAAAATATGTTTTGTGTTTTCAGTTTATGGAGATTTTTAAAAAGAGTGGGGGGTTGGTTACAGAAAATGCTACGATAGTTTTAAGTTGAATATATTGAAAGATGCAGTGGTGGGGTATATTGTAATTATCTTATATTTGGTTAAAGGTCATGAACAAGTGGTCCTTCTGTTCTAGGCTGGTTACTCCTGTTTCATACTTGAAAAATAAAGGTGTTCTTTGTTGATGACTCTGAGAAACATTGGATTGAACCAGGACAGTCATGTTGACCACAGTTTATCTGCTGGTGGTTTAATATGTGCTCTGATAGACAACCTGCTAATGACTGATGTAACAGTGTGAGGGAGAAACTTGAGTTTCCGGCAGTTAACATGAATGCAGGAAATGCAGTGTTTCTCGTTCACTTTAGGGTTTGTAGCGTTGGGCTCCTGTCATTAAACCGGTTTCTGTGCCTGTTTTTCTCAGCCTGCTGATCATAAAACTTCCTCATATCTTTCACAGATGAAGAGGGACCTGTCCTCTAAAACTTTCAATATTTGAACATCTTTCATTTTAGGTTGACTATCAACAAACTCCCAACATGCTTAGTATGTGTTATCC